GAGGAGTAGCTCGGGCGGCGAGCATCCACGCACGCACGCAGAATTTACCAAAGCACACAGAAGGAGAACGAGAGGGAGAGGGGAAAAGCCGACGGCAGAAGGAACGCGAAGCCATCCCCTCCCGTTGCTTCCTCGCGCCGAACTCGAATCCTCCCCCTCGCGCCGTGCCAGAGGGCTCCGCCGGAGATCGATCGAGGGGACGCGGCCCGAGCCGGAGATGGTCGCCGCCGTGGTGAACTACCCGCTCGTCGCGGGGCTCCTCGCCTTCGCGGTCGCGCAGTCCGCCAAGTTCTTCACCACCTGGTGAGCTAGTTGCCTCCCCTCAACTCCCCTCCCCTCCCCCGCCCCGCGTTACAGTTCTCGCTGATGGTTTGGCTCCGCTCCTCGGGCTGCTGCTTGTGTGAGCATTGCTGAGCCGGTGGCAGCGCGTGTGATTTCGGTGGTCGCGAGTTCGTAGCTTATCTGCTTAGCGCGAAGGTGAACGGAGATTTGGATTTGAGACCTGCTAGGAATGAGATTTGACTAATTTTATTTAGGCTGTTTTTTTTCCTTCATTAATAATTCGGCGGATCAGTTGCGTACATAGGCTGTGGATCCTCGCGAAGCTTAGCGAGATCTTCCTCTTATTTTTGCGTTTCGCTTCGCTGTGGTAGTATGATCTGCGTCGACTGCTTCTGAAACCAGCTATTCATGAACCACTAGCAGAGTACTTTGTCAACGAGGCAAACGGAAATGCCAGATATGCCACGTGGTGTGGGAGTTGGACGAATGCTTACAGTTACCCAACTAGGACAAAAAACGTGCCAGAAGTTTGTGTACTTGCTCGGTATGTTTTCGTCTGGAAGCAGTGGATCACATTAGTCATGAGGTTTTAGCTATTAATCCGAGAGCATTTTAGGGTCATTCGGATGGTTTGGTGAGGCACTTAGAGGCCTGTTTTTTCCACATGCATTCTGGTTCTACTGCCAGATTAGGGTTGTATTTGTGATTTCTGAAGCAAATTACCTGTGTTTCCTTATTTTGGTTCTAATGCCACTTAGATGTTTAATCTACTTTGTGATGATCCTTCCCATAAGAGTTATGTATGTTCGCTGCAAAGCGTGGCTTTGTTTTTGAACTTTAAAGAGTGTCTATTGGCAAAGTAAGTGACAAAATTAACTCTCGATTTCCTGATAATTTAAGCAAAATTGTTGGTACTAAACTATGGACACGAAGCCCTACCCTCAGTGGCAGTGCTAGATCTGTGACCCTGTTTTTTATGAATATTTTTTAAGAGGATTGTAGACAATTTGTGATGTCAGTTTTTTTAAGAAAAGGGGTTGCCCCCTGCCCCATTTTTATTTAAAATGATGTGATGTCAATTTACATCACCAATCGTGTGTAAAGCCACCACAAATTGACCCACACATCCAGAGGGTATCGACTTATAGTAACTGCACATTACCATTTGCTGTCTCATGCAGTATATAATTCAAAATAAGAAAACCAATTGTTTGGGGGCCATTTGAACATGTGCAGACACCTTTATTCGATAAAAACGAGTTTTTATTGACTCAATAACATGCACAAACACCTGAATATGCACCAGGGCAGAAATTTGAGAACACCCCGTGGAAGTTGATCGCTCATGTCTGCCTTGTTATGTACTCCCTCCGTTCCAAGCTGTTGTCGAATCAGCGACAACTAATATGGAACGGAGGGAGGATGATGTGTAGTAGCATGTAAGAGGTGGCTTTCCATTTCTCTAACTGTATATCTATCTTCAAGCTGGTGCCTTGGTATATATGATGTTAGTAGTATGTAAGAGGTGGCCTTCCATTTCCTTAACTGTATAACTATCTTCAAGCTTGATTTGGGATTGGGGCAAGGATTGTGTTTCAAATTGCACTCCTGCAAACCCATATAATTTTTGGAATCAAACTTATTAAAGAAGCATGGGTAAACTGGTAAAAAACATGCTAAAATGTTGCTTATCACTATCCTACTGTATGCATTTGGTGTTCTCTAAATCATTTTTTGGGGTTTTTATGTAGGTATAAAGAGAAGCGTTGGGATGCCAGGCAATTTATAGCTTCTGGAGGGATGCCATCATCACATTCAGCCACAGTGACAGCACTTGCAGTGTCTGTTGGTATCCAAGAAGGCTTTCGTAGTGCTACATTTGCAACTTCAGTGATACTTGCATGTGTGGTGAGTACACGCTTGAGATTCTTTATTATGTACTCATATATTATAAGCAGATGATCTTAAGACTTGACTACTTCTATTGCATTAATATCCTAATATAGAGGATACTATCAGAGTATTTGCATTCATTTGTTTGCTTTCGTCTTCTCTCTTCTGATTTCATGCGATACTTTGCACATTGCTTTTGAAATTTGCTGCTGTATGTTGCGAAGCTATTGCTTAACAGCACTTTCCTGGCAGCATTCATAGTTCACAGCCTCTAAACAGTGATATATAATAATGATGCACTTCGACATGAAAGACATGTATGCCTAAAACCTTTGGGTTTTTTTGTAGGTGATGCATGATGCTTTTGGTGTTCGGTTGCATGCTGGAAAACAGGCAGAGGTTTGTCAGTCTCATCCTAAAAGGTCTTGGGACTTGTGGTGAAATAGCATTATGCACTAGCATGGGAGGCTGCCTAGTGGCTGTCCTGATTATAAGCTAATAAGCATATGTTTTCTATCTATAACTAGCATACAGTCTTTTCACATAGGACTGCTGTTTGATTTCTATTATCTCACTTGAGGTTTATCAATTGAATCACAATTGCACATATACTTACATTCATTAGATTGCATTAGACTTTTTCAGTTTGCTGTACTCAAATCAAGGATACACAGTGATTTGCTAGGTTTTCATAATGCTGGAAACAACACTTAAAAGACCTGTATGTAAAAATTACAGCTAAATGGTTATCTGAGATTGAGATTGTTCTGTTGTTATGCATGTTCAATGTGCAGTAAGTTACGCATGCAGTATGAGGAGCATGCATAAGTGCATAACTAAGGATATGCCCCTGAAATTGGCCACTATCTCTATGTTCGGCTGAATGATATATGCCTTGATTACCTTGAACATTTGATAAACAGTTGATGAGTATCCTTAGACTATATGTTTGGCCTGGACTTGATTAACTACTTTTTCACTAACGTGTGAACAGGAAATTTAGATAATGAAAATTGTATGTTTAGAAATCCCCATTGACATATACTCCCTCAGTTCCTAAATATAAGTCTTTTTAGAGATTCCAATATGGACTACATACGGAGTAAAATGAGTGAATCTACACTCTAAAATATGTCTATATACATCCGTATGTAGTATATATTGAAATCTCTAAATGGACTTATAATATTTAGGAACGGAGGGAGTAATAATAAAGAAAGGACCCTGATAAGTACCGAACGTCAGGTACGAGCACATGGCAACTCCGAACGTTTTCGATGGCAAGTTTAGTTATGCGAGGATGCCAAGGCAACTTTTGTGCTTCAGTTTATGTTTGACAGAAACTTGCCGTGTCACTGGAATTTGCCATCCTTGCGTGACTGGAATTGCCATCGAAAAACGTCAGGGCGGGAGTGCCACACACCTGACTTGTGGCACTTATCATTTGGGTAAAAGAAAAGAAGCATAGAAGTGTGACGTCATTTTCTTGCAAGAGATAATTTTGTCCTGTTTACCCAGTCCTATCATCAGTTATGGTCTTTCAAACTTTGTGTGACACTGAAGCAAGATGGAGACTAATATTGTTGATGCAAATCCTATCAGGTGTTGAACCAAATTGTCTACGAGCTGCCTATAGAGCATCCACTGGCAGAGACAAAGCCATTGCGTGAAATTCTTGGACACACAGTCCCTCAGGTTAGCTCACATGCTTTAGCTTCCATATCTTGATGTTTGTGGTCTTGCAAGTTAAGGAAAATGTGATTGTCGATATATGAAGCAGAAAAGTATAGAAGATTAACTACTAAAAATCCTTTCAAGAGCATCATTTTGTGAGCAAATTCAACGGTTCTCAAATAATTCATATCGAAAGATATTTATTATCTGTAGCATGCTCCAAAGCTGCAATTATTGAACAGTTTCATCATATGATATAGCAAACTTCTTTCAGGAGCAAATACTTAGAATGCAAATGACATCTCATAAGTTAATTGGGACAAATAATTGCTCATCTCGGAAGATTGGCCATTTCTCTTGTCAGATATATTATTTCGATAACAATGATTAGCTGATATGCGTGATATGCTGGATGTAAAAACACTTTTTTTAACATGTCAGGTGGTGGCTGGTTGCATCCTTGGAATCCTCACGGCTGTGATCATGCTCTTAGCTCTGGGGAGTTACACTTAGATTTCGGCAATATTTGATCATCAGATATCACATCGCCGATCTTGTAAAGCATAAAGAAAAAAGCTCATCTTTGATGTAATGTGTGAAAGTGGCCTGTCCATGCTGATGCTACAAAGTCTTAACTGATTTAGATCTGCGCTGTAGGATAGTGGGTCGTAGCTTCAGTTGGTGCTGTATATCTGAGATGTTTGCTGTCGATTAGAACCTTCTCGTGTTGAATGTTTGCTGTACAACTAGCAGTGATATACTGATATGTAGCTTGAGAAGTGATGGTTCTGAATAGTTGATACCACGTCATAAGCTCCACTTTCTGGGTACACAATTATTATGTTTGCCTTTTTTTTGAACTCAATTATTATATTTGCCTTTGATCCAAAGAGTAAGAATATGACACAGAAAATCTAACGCAACTTTTCATAGTAATTCTGCTCTCTCTCTCCCAGATGATTATTGTGTTTAAGCAACACAGCCAACTTAGTAGTACTATGTATTTATTTCTCCGACAAGTATTTTCGGACGGTATGTATTTATTTCTTCGACTATTTTGGGACGGATGGAGTATGTATTTGTGTATGCATGGACGGATGGAGTATGTATTTGTGCATGCATGTGGCAGCGTTCTTAATCTAGATTCCCAGTCAGAGCTTGGATGGCGTCCCTCTGGGATGGTGCACCACGATGAGGCCGTAGGCATCCAGTGTGAGGAAGTCGTCCAGCTCCGGCGCGACGCACTGCCGGATGAAGACCCTGCCAGCCTCCGCGTAGCGCCCCCGGCGGAACCTCTCCGCGCCGACCTCTGCCTGGACCCTCGCCATCTCCTCCTCCACGACGCGCGCGAGCAGCTCCGGCGTGGCTCGGACCGCCACGCCGCCGGCGTCGAGCACCGCGCCATGGCGGAGCCACTGCCAGTTCTGCACGCGGCTGATCTCCGCGGTGGCCGCGTCCTCCATGAGGTTGTACAGCGGCACGGACCCGGACCCGCCCAGCCACGCCGCGAGGTACTGCACGCCGACCCGGGTGTTGAGCCGCAGCCCCTCCACCGTGCGCGTACCCCGCGGCGGCTGGATCAGGTCCTCCTCCGTGATGGCGTCGACGGGTGCCGCCGCGTCGATCTGGTTAGACTTCCCTCCGAGGTGGCCCTCGAAGACCTCCCGGATCGCCGGGATGAGCCCTGGGTGCGCCGCCCACGTGCCGTCGTGCCCCGCGCGCACCTCCCTCAGCTTGTCCCTGCGCACCAGCTCCAGCGCCGCCTCGTTCGCCGCCGCGTCGTCCTTGATCGGAATCTGAGCCGCCTGTCAAATTGAATCAACACACATGCGATTGCTTGCATCGATCACTTGAGGAGCGGAGAATGAGCTGGGGATGAACGAGCGCTTAGTTAGTTATAGTTACCATGCCGCCCATGGCGTGGACGCGGCGGCGGTGGCAGGTGCGGATGAGGAGGTGGGAGTAGGAGCGCATGAAGTGCTGCGCCATGCCGACGAGGGCGCGGTCGGGGAGGAGGCGGTCCGGGTGGGCGCGGAACGTCTTGACGTAGCTGAAGATGTAGTCCCACCGCCCGCAGTTGAGCCCCGCCGAGTGGTCGCGCAGCTCGTGCAGGATCTCGTCCATCTGGAACACCGCCGGCAGCGTCTCCACCAGCACCGTCGCCCTGATGCTCCCACGCTCGATCCCGGCCACCCTCTCCGCCCTCTCGAACACGCCGTTCCATATCCTCGCCTCCCTGCATGCATGTACGCTCGATCACATCAGCATGAAGGACGAGCCATCACGGAATGGAGCTGTAGTGCTGTACCACGTGTCACTGCGCGGTACGGTACCTGGAGTGCTCCATCTTGGGGAGGTAGAAGAAGGGGCCGAATCCGGCGCCCTGGCCGGCGCGGAAGGCGGCGTGGCTGTGGAAGAAGTAGAGCCCGAAGTCCACGAGGCAGCCGATGGCCGGCTCGCCGTCGATGAGCACGTGCGCCTCCGGCAGGTGCCAGCCGCGCGGCCTGACGAACAGCTTCGCGGTGCGCTCGTCGAGCTTGTACACCCGGCCGCCGCGCGCCGCGTCGCGGAAGCTTATGGTGCCGGCCACGGCGTACCGCAGGTTCACCTGCCCGCGCATCAGGTTCTCCCACGTCGGCGCCAGCGCGTCCTCGAAATCAGCCTACCACGTCCACGTCACGTTTTTCAATTTGGTACATGTACGTACGTTGGGTCCTGGGGCTGCACTTGCACGTACGTACGGCTACGCGCGCTTACCATGAAGACCTTGGCGCCGGAGTTGAGCGCGTTGATGACCATCTTCCTCGGGTCGGCGGGGCCGGTGATCTCCACGGTCCGGTCCGCGATGGCCGGCGGCACGGGCGCGCACGCCCAGTCTCCCTCCCGGACGAACCTGGTGGACGGGTCGAACCGCGGCAGCTCGCCGGCGTCGTAGCGCCGCTGGGCCTCACGCCGGCGCTCCATGGCGTACCTGACGGGGCCGCGGAACTCGCGCTGCAGGCCGGCCACGAAGGCCAGCGCGTCGCGGGTCAGGATGGCCGCGAACTCCGGGTCGTAACGGCCGCGGATGTCCACGCCCTCCGGCGTGTCGTAGGACGGCGCCATCGCCGGGGTGGTGTCGTGCAAACTGGGCATTATGTTTGCGTGAGCAGAGCACTGCGTGTGTAAGCGGGGATGATGGGAGTGTGCAGCTCGAGCTCGACGAGTGGAGCAGATATATACGCGCGGCAGGGGGGCGCCGAGACCAGTTTAAGATTTGAAGTTGTATTCGATGGCGTCATATGTGTGCAACTTGTGTACTCGAAGTGGCTACATCAAGCGTCGTATGTGCATGGATGATGAAGATGAATGACGAAGAACTCCGAACAGAAACGTGGTTGTTACGATAAGGCAGGCACGCTGCGCCGGTGTTTTTGGCTGTAGCCTTGCGCATCAGCGCGCATGGCATCGGGTAGGCGTGGCTTGTTTCTTTGGCGCACCGGGGAGATGGTTTTACCCGTCGCGCGTTGGCCGTTTCTGTTCATGTTCTTATCCATCTGCTCGGTTCGGGTTGAGGCTGGAGGAGGAGGGAGAGCCGTGCCGCCATGGGCCAACTGTGCGGCTACGGTGTTCTTCAAATGTAGTAGGA